CCTTATTTTGTTAAGGGTGAGTTTTCTATTATGTACTGGGAATGTCGTCTTCATGACCCATGGTAGTCTCGAAACTGAAGTTACGAGTGTGGGTCCAGATGTGAGATGGTAAATTAAATGCAAGAACCATACAAATTGTAATCTGTTAGAGGTGCTAGGCTAAAGATCTATGTCCGTTTCAAACTGACAAGAACTTTAGGATTAGATTGGTCTGGCAATCGCTTTGCGCGATTGAGGAGTAGAGACGAGAAATGGGTCATCTTCACACCAGCGGTCCTGGATCGAGCAAGACAGAGTCCTAGAGAGAAAGTAGGGTAGAGACGGGAAATAGGATAACTGAATGATCGGTCTGAAGACTAAGGGAAGGGGAAGATGCCTATGAATAATAATCACCTGTCTTAAATCCTCGAATATGACGTAAATAGGGACAGGAATTGAGGGCTCATAGACAGCCAGACGGGAAATTTTATGTGCAACAGATAAAAACTGATGAAGTTGGGTGGATGAGGGCTAAATGAAAGTGAGAAGGGACGCAACTCTAGAAGTTGGGACAAAGTAGTTGAAGAGAAAATTGGCTAGCCGGATTGCCTTCATTTCTAACTTCGATAATTTTTAACCATGCCAACGATGACGTCTCTCTCTGACGATGCCAGTGAAATGCATGGGAGTGTATACAATCAACGGTCTAATGGCAGAGGACGCAGGACTCGGTAACATATGTACAAGAATAGATAGATAGAGATAGAACGTTATATTATGATTTGTCAATCAGGTACTTGAACTTGTGCGATTGTGTTTGTGCTTCTTAGTTGAATTAAACAGAATCAAACAAAAAACATCAAGTAATTCCTTAGATGAGCCGGGCAACCGACTACAGAGTGAGGCAGGAAACGAAGAGTTGGTAGTCCAAAAAGTTGAAGTATTTACAAAAGTGTTGGAGTACCTCTCATTTGGTTTGAAGCGACTAATGGAGGGGATTCGTAAGTTGGTCTCACTTAAGGCTAAGGGGATTGCCTTGTAGCTGTGATCGTAAATTTGTGCGAATAGGTCCGTGGCGCACCGCCTTGCGACCCCAATGAATCCTTGCTGAGCTTTCGTCCCCTATAGCTTCCGGTGAGACCAACTTACGAATTCCTTCCAGTCGCCTCTGTAAACGAAAAGAAAGGTACTCCAATACCAATCTATCAAAGGATTATTCGAAACCCAGTTTTCCTACATATTTACAAAAATATCTAGACAGTCTTGAGTCATCCAGTTTTATTAAGCATGGAAGAAAGGAACCAAGATTACATAAACATGTATGCGTTTAAATCAGACTTCGAAACCACCTTTCACAACTCGTTATTAATGTTTGATAACTCAAAGGCAAGTATGCTTAAGCTTATACTTCTGATTGGGTAAATGAGCATAGCAGAAGCATTGTTGATTTATCAGCTGAGTCGCAAGTATAACTAGTTCT